CTTCTGCTGATGCAGAATATCTGTTGATAATGAACCAAAACTGCTAACATTGTGAGTAAGCTTGTCTGAAAGTTATTTAAAGCTATTCTGTGTTTTGTGGTGAAGATGACACATCAGAGTTAAAGTGAAAGAAGCTACATGTTAACAATAGTCTGTATCTGTATAAAATTTCCTGGTGAATGCTTTAACAGCAATATTTGTTTAATCTCTACTGTTGCTGTTTTGTGTCAGTTAATCTAAATTAGGTAATAACTAACACTTTAAATGATTTATAAAGTCTCATTTAGCTTTCATAGAGAGAAGGATGAACATTGGTATAAAAACATTGCTAACATTAGCTGTCATTTCAGTGGTGGACATAAATACAGTACAGTAATATTTTACTCACAAAATACAAACAGTAATAAGTTCACCTTACATGTGAAACGATATCCTTCAAGCTCTGATTTTCAGTTTGTCTATTAGAACAAAAACATTCTGCACAGAGCTGAGCTGAGGCACCTTCTGATGTTTGGGTTCAGCCAAACAGCACCGCAGGAGGGAATGCTACGTCTGCTCTATACACTGTCTGTGGCGGGGTCGCTGAGCGGGACCGTGGGCACGTCGGGCTGACGCAGCTGGCGGATCATGATGAAGGACAGGATCATCCCCAGAATCTGTGGAGACACAGAAACCACCGTGAGACGGTGACGACATGAACCCCCCACAGCCCGAGTCCGGAAGAGTTCAGGATCGTCAGCAGAGACAGAGAGCAGTAACACTTCCTGGTGTTTGAAATGGCCCCGCCCACTTTCCTGTCCTCCAAGCAGCCGGTCGAGGCAGATGGTCTCCTGTCCTGAGCCTGGTTCTGCTGGAGGTTTCTTCCTGATTAGCAGGGAGTTTTTCCTCTCCACCGTTTGCTCAGGATGGGAGACTGTGATGAAGTGATTCAACACAATCTGCTGCTTTCTTCTTTACATTGTTCTTTTTATCTACAGTGTCCTGAGTATGTTGGGACTTGGAGCTGTAGAAATAAACTGAATTGAATTGAAACATGATTTAAAAGTCTGTTTCAACAAATCACCTCCCCAAACTTTAACGACACATGCCAATCTGTGAAAGAAAATCATCTTTCCAATAGATGGCAGTAAAGTGCTGACTTGTCTCAAACAATGTTTTCTGGTAAACGGAGATAAAATTCCCCCTCATATTTAGCTTCCACTAAGTTTTATTGAGAATATGCACTTTTGAACTTGCGGACCTAAATAAACTGACTAGCGCTTTGGAAAGTTTATAAACAGAATGAATTTTACTGATGGAAGAAAAAATAATAATAAACGGAGCTGATACAATAGGGTAATAATGCTCCACTGGATGCGTGGAAACGCATGCACAAGTGCATCCCCCTGCTCCACGGGCTTGGACTACTGATAAAATTAAAGCTGCTAAACTCTTTAAAAGCAGTACATTTTTTTACTGTAAAATATAAATATTAGTGCTGGGCACATTAACGTGTTATCACGTTAATGCAGCCAATGCTTAATAGCGATACTTTTTCTTAACGCACATTAACGCAGTTTATTATTTGTTTAGATTTCTCTGTCTGATCTCTGTTCACAGAGCAGCTAAAGCCTGAGTCACACTACAAGATTTTAAAGCGGTCGTTCAATTTTCAAAGACTTATAGAGCCCCCATATGAGGATAAAAAATCATGGATATAACAGGTTTGGTCCTGCAGTGTGTGGTGTACAGACACACAACAAGAGACAACACACCACACACCAAAAGATAATTCATTCATGATTCAGATGTCAGATATTAAATCACGCGAGACTTCCTGAAATCTCACGAGAATTCAGATGTCGGAGGAAAAATCTCACGTGAGCTCCAGAGAGACGTGAGTTCAGAGTAAATAAACATTTGTGACGAAGAAGAAACAATGTTGATCGTTTGTGGACTATTTTTACCAGAGGAAAACCAACTCCAGGACTTTTAACATCCAGCAGACTTTCTGCTGAGTCATGACAGGTTTTTTTTGTCTTCTGTATTTTGGAATCCYCTCYGTGTTTACATCACCTCTCTTTCTGATTGGCTACACGTCTCATTCACAGACAGAGCTCAGGTGAACACTACACACACTGTGACATAAGACCAAAAAATCAAACATGTTCAATATCCTCAATTTGAGGTCGGTGCGGTCCCGACGTCCTTATGAGCTGACTAGATCACTCTTAACTCACCACCCACGGCAGGAATATCTGCTCAGATTATCTTTASAACCATCACCATAATCTGGACTTCCTTAAGATTGTCAGAAGGGCAGAAATCGGCCTGATTWTCTTGTAGTGTGACGCTGGCCTAACACACACRCAGACACACAGAAGCTCAGTGGTCACAGAGGGGAGCCAGGATCTTTATCACTATTGGCTTAAGGTGGTCTTCATTGCTCCTCTCAACCAATGAGAGCATTTTGTTGTCGAGCCGTTGCATGGCCACTCGCAGCCGCTCTCATAAACCCGACTGAGCTGCAGCAGCAGCAGAAATATGGCTGAAGTCCCCCGATTCATCAGGGCACTTTTTATTTTAAAACTTTTCCCAACGAACGGCGGGCTGGAGAGAAGTAAAGTTGTCTGTAAGCTCTGCAGCACTAAACTGTCTCACAACCAGAGCAGTTTGAGCCTGAAATATCCCTTCAGTTTAAAACCAGAATAAACAAACAGGGATGTTCTACAGACGAGCCTAACCAGGCATTGGAGAAAAAAAAGTAAGACCATCTCCCTTTGCTTTAATTGTTTAGTTTTTATAAATGCATTGCCCCTTTTTTATATGAAACAATACCCAAAACATGCTCAAACATGTTGGAAGTCAAAGTTAAATTTTGTGCATAATAATGAGGTTAATCAAAAAATTAATCTTTTTTTGTCATTAAAATGAGTACTACATGAGGAATGAAAGCTAGATACTGAGGTCCCAGTTGTCAGAAAAAAAATACAATAAGAAAGAAAAAATAAAGAAGACAAGAAAGTACAAAAATGCAGAGTCTCACAGATGGAGTGTATTGCAACATAAAAAAGTACACATTCAGTCATAATAAAGTTATTGCTTGTAAAAAAAAATTTTGATTAATTGTGATTAATCACAAAAATATCCTGCAATTAATCATGATTAAAAATTTTAATCTACTGTATGCCCAGCACTGATAAACAGAATGTGTTAGTCCCATTTATTTTTGAATCCTGAACACTTTCTGCTTTTACATTTGATCATTCATACAGACAGGAAGGTCTGATAAGATAAAACCTTACWTTTTCTATTTAAAACGTTCTCTGTATTTGAAGATCGGTGGATATTTGAAATCCTACTGAGCCTAAAACTTTGAAATCATTTTCAAGTTTGTTGACATCTCGCACCCTGTTTAAATAAACAAAATGATAAGACTGTCTGTCCAGAGGGACAGTAAGGCACAGAAAAGGTTTGGGAGTGGTCATTGCTGCCTCTGGTTCCTGTTGGAGGCACCCTTGGTTTACAGGTTAAGCATTTGAACCCACCTTGTAGTCTTTCTGATACTTGCTCCACACCTCTTTGCTGAGCCCTCCYGACGCTTCGCAGGGTTTGTCAGGGTGCACCATGTTATGGTTGACCAGAGCTGACAGGTGGGTTCGCACGGTGGACAGGTGTCGACAGTATGCAAGCCCTGATGTACAGGTGAAAGACAAACACTCAGACCAGGTAACAGACAATAATCACAATTAGAAAGTGGTAGTTTCAGGCCTCAAAGAAACTCAAATTAAAATAAATAATGTTGGAATCAAAAATKTCTCACATTGCATATTAAATGTTTTACTCACATTTCAGCAGAGCTTTCTGCTTTATTACACTCTCAAATGGGACTTACTGTAGCAGCGGTTCATCTATAAATTAGTTTTTAAATAATTTTTGAGTCGTTTGCTTTCTGTTCAATATCCTGAAAGGTGCACAGAATAAATTAAATTGTGTCTTTGTCTAATGATAGCTATGGGCTGCCGTTTGTAAAGTTACACAGTCAAAAATTACCACCAATATTTTTTTGCCTTTTTTAAGAAAAAAAGAACAGATTTATTTTTCAAAGTCAGTTTTTCACCATATGATTCATACATTTATAAATGTCATAGTTTACAAACTAAATATTTAACTTACAAACTAAATATTTAGTTAAACTAAATATTTAAC